CATTTATGCCATGTGTTCATGGATTTTAAAACAGGCCCTTGATTTAGTAGCACATGCAGCACTGTAGGACACTATAGAACAGTACAGTATGGCTACAACTCTCAAATGTAGTTTAGAACAGTGCCATGGCAAAGCCAGCAGTGCTGTCACGCTGAACAGACAAATAGGGTGCTGGTCCCGAACAACAGTAGGAGTCTACCAGGGCAGCCTCTTCGCCCTAACACTGTTTAACACCTTCTTAGAAAGAATTATGCCTGACACCCTAGAAAAACATCATGGAACAGTATCGGAGGTCGAAGTGTTAAAAGCTTAAGGTTTGCAGATGACATTGATGGATTGGCCGGGAAGGAACAAGCGTTAGTCGAGCTGCTTGGTGAAACATCGACTAAGTATGATGGAGAAAAAACAAATGTAATCACTAATAATCCAGCTGGAATAACTTCACTAATGTACGACGTTAAAGGTCACACATTAAAACAAGTCAATCATTTCAAATATTTAAAAATTATTTTAGATGACTGGTTAAGACAAGCAATCATTTGTAGGACTCCGCTGACATGATCAGTCCTTGCCAAGCAGCGAACATTAACAAGGTCGAAAAACATTTTATGCAAAACTAAGATTTGATTTCTAAGAGCACTAGCTTTTAGTACATTCACATATGGCTGTGAAATGTGGACTTTAACGGTTGAATTTGAAAAGATACAAGCATAGGAAATGAGATGTTTCAGAAAATTGTTTGGCATATCATACAGAGACCACATTACAAACAAAGAGGTTCACTATAAAATTATACAGCACATTGGTAACTTTGAACCCCTTTGAACTACAGTGAAAGGCGAAAAAAATGCAATAGTATAGACGTGAAATGGGATCTAACGGCCTCTCAAAGACAATGCTGCAGTGCTTAGTGAGGGAAAGACTAGAAGAGGCAGACCAAGAAAGACCTGGTTACAGAACCTGACTGACTGAACAGGCCTCAGGCATGCAACCACGAAATCATCGCAACTGACTGTCATTGGCGGAGAGAGCTAGCTGAACAGAGGGTCAACAGAAACTGGTGACCCAGCGATTGGTGTTAAGGAAATGATGATGATGAACAAAATTAGACACAGAGATGAATCCAAACCAATACATACAATTTAAATCAAACACGCCACTCTAATACACGTTTCTTTATTGCTTCTTTTGTGAGCATTTACTAGTGTGTTTACTGTTCATCATCAGTATGTGCCATGGACTGGCTTGTCTTTTTTTTTTTTTTTTTTTTTTTTTTTTGCTTTTTGCTTTATTCAACAAGCTGCACACGGAGAATCCGGAAGATGCCAAATAGTGTCTCAGTCTTCTTGATGGTCTTCAGGTTGTGGACATGATGGTTCACCAGCAGAACTCACCAGGTGGGTTCGGAACTACCCGTATTGTGCTTGCTGCTTCTTCTTTATGAAATTCTTACCCTCTTCTGCGCGAGGTTTCCTGAGTACTGGAGACATCGATACCAGCCGTTGCATCTCATCAGCGCTGAAGTTCATTGGACTGTTTATAGTGCTCAAGTCGTAGCCGTAGGAGAAGAGTTTGAGCACTGCAGGCTGGGTTATCTGGAAGTGATGGCAGACTGCCTGCTCAAGGGCGCAGTCAACAGCCCCAAAGCCATACCCTGGATGATTCATTCTGTCTGCAGCCTTGCCAAAGATAGTATCAAATATGTTTTTACAGTGAAGAAACATAAAAGCATATGATTTATCAAAACGCAACTTAGTTATGCTGAATTAGGAAACCACATCATATAACACGGCCCCTAATCTTGTTTCGACTACATTATCAGTACTCGGCCTAAAATGCTATTTCTGACATCCCAAGCAAGTAAAAACAACATGAAGTTACACGCATCGTGTAACATTCATCTACCATCATATAGGCAGATCAGAGACGGGGTGCAGATAGACGTGGCTGTAAATTGACATGGAAGTGACTGTAGAGAGGTCAAAGTTTACAGTTCAGAAAAACGATTTTATTTCACCGGGTTTTTTCCCATGCGGCCCGGTCTCTCTACACAAAAAAGCTAACCACCTTTCGAAATCATCTCACAGAGTCCCAAATCTGTAGCTCAAGGGACGATCCCGACTGATATCCGAATAAATTGCACTCGTCAAATATAGGATGAGTCGCGGAACGAACACATGACCTTCAGACGACTTCGCCACGATGACCCACTTTACTCCAGAAAAGCGTAATCGAATACTGAACTGCTTGACAACAGTTCGGATAAAGGAATCAAAAAACGTTATTAAATTATTAGATGATGGGGGAAAAATAGGAATCGGCATCTCTAACGCCTGATTCGGATCGGTTACATCAATCTCACGCGGTAAAGATTGGAGATCACTCGTCATCATCATTCCTACAATATCTTTGTTGCGAGAGGACATGTGGATAACATATTCACCGCTTCTGCGAAACCTTGTTTGTAAGTGACACAGGAATATAATGATTATCACATCCTCGAAATCCGTGTTAATAAAGGACTTAGAAATACGATAACTATTACAGCCTCGCAATTCCTATTGACATAGGACACATGAACACGACATCCCATCACATCCATTTGATAATCCGACATTTCTGTCAGAGGCAAAGGTAACAGATCCCTCATGTGGTTGCAGACCTCAATGGAAAACTACACATTTTCTGTTCAGTTTGACATTAAATAAAACAGACTTTTGGACCGTGGAGATGTGGGGTTTTTTAGACATATATTGCGGACACGGCAAACGTAAGAGAAACTAATCTGAAAATCACTAATGAAATTGTAAAACTATATACACATATATTTGGAGTGTTGATTTGACAAAGCCACGAGATACACTACTACACAGTTGCCTAGCGCAGAACGAATTAATGGGGCTTTATTGATACACTACTAAGTCAGTTGCCTAGCGCAGAACCAATTGGTGGGGCTTTATTGATACACTACTGAGTCAGTTGCCTGACGCAGAACCAATTGATGAGGCTTTATTGATACACTACTGAGTCAGTTGCCTAGCGTTGAACGAATTGATTGGGCCTTATTAAAACACTACTGAGTCAGTTGCCAAGCTAAGTTTATCCTGTGGATCTTGTAAGGCAGACTTCAGTAAAGATGAGGACAAGATTATATAGGATAAGTCATATCAACTGCTATGTAATTTGTGACTCTTTCCATTTGGATGTTTTTTCTAGATGTTTTCCACGCAAATGTAGATGTTTTTACATATTTTTGACTCCATTTTGGATGTTTTTCTGTCAAAGAAAAGTGGCAACACTGCGACTTCCTGTCAAGCTGGATCAAGCGTCTGTGTGGTTTTTCTGATGTATTATGCACTAAATGTCTAGTGGCATAGTGTATTATTTCCCAAGATGTTTTTTTCCTCTGTGTGTAGTAGCCGACAAATCTGATGTGTTTTCCTTCTGTGTGTAATGGATGACAAGTCAGATGTGTTTCACTCTGTGTGTAATGGCCGACAAGTCAGATGTGTTTTCCCTCTGTGTATAGTAGCCGACAAGTCAGATGTGTTTTCCCTCTGTGTGTAGTGGCCGACAAGTCAGATGTGTGTCCCTCTGTGTGTAGTGGCCGACAAGTCAGATGTGTTTTCCCTCTGTGTGTAGTGGCCGACAAGTCAGATGTGTTTTCCCTCTGTGTGTAGTGCCGACAAGTCAGATGTGTGTCCCTCTGTGTGTAGTGGCCGACAAGTCAGATGTGTTTTCCCTCTGTGTGTAGTGGCCGACAAGTCAGATGTGTTTTCCCTCTGTGTGTAGTGGCCGACAAGTCAGATGTGTTTTCCCTCTGTGTGTAGTGGCCGACAAGTCAGATGTGTGTCCCTCTGTGTGTAGTGGCCGACAAGTCAGATGTGTGTCCCTCTGTGTGTAGTGGCCGACAAGTCAGATGTGTGTCCCTCTGTGTGTAGTGGCCGACAAGTCAGATGTGTTTTCCCTATGTGTGTAGTGGCCGACAAGTCAGATGTGTTTTCCCTATGTGTGTAGTGGCCGACAAGTCAGATGTGTGTCCCTCTGTGTGTAGTGGCCGACAAGTCAGATGTGTTTTTCCCTATGTGTGTAGTGGCCGACAAGTCAGATGTGTTTTTCCCTCTGTGTGTAGTGGCCGACAAGTCAGATGTGTTTTCCCTATGTGTGTAGTGGCCGACAAGTCAGATGTGTTTTTCCCTATGTGTGTAGTGGCCGACAAGTCAGATGTGTGTCCCCCTGTGTGTAGAGGCCGACAAGTCAGATGTGTGTCTTTCTGTGTGTAATGGCCGACAAGTCAGATGTGTTTCCCTCTGTGTGTAATGGCTGACAAGTCAGATGTGTTTTCCCTCTGTGTGTAGTGGCCGACAAGTCAGATGTGTTTTTAACTATGTGTGTAGTGGCCGACAAGTCAGATGTGTTTTTAACCATGTGTGTAGTGGCCGACAAGTCAGATGTGTGTCCCTCTGTGTATAGTGGCCGACAAGTCAGATGTGTTTTCCCTCTGTGTGTAATGGCCGACAAGTCAGATGTGTGTCCCTCTGTGTGTAGTGGCCGACAAGTCAGATGTGTTTTCCCTCTGTGTGTAATGGCCGACAAGTCAGATGTGTTTTCCCTATGTGTGTAGTGGCCGACAAGTCAGATGTGTTTTCCCTATGTTTGTAGTGGCCGACAAGTCAGATGTGTTTTTCCCTCTGTGTGTAGTGGCCGACAAGTCAGATGTGTTTTCCCTCTGTGTATAGTAGCCGACAAGTCAGATGTGTTTTCCCTCTGTGTGTAGTGGCCGACAAGTCAGATGTGTGTCCCTCTGTGTGTAGTGGCCGACAAGTCAGATGTGTGTCCCTCTGTGTGTAGTGGCCGACAAGTCAGATGTGTGTCCCTCTGTGTGTAGTGGCCGACAAGTCAGATGTGTGTCCCTCTGTGTGTAGTGGCCGACAAGTCAGATGTGTGTCCCTCTGTGTGTAGTGGCCGACAAGTCAGATGTGTCTGAATGAATAAAACATTGTCAGCGATCCCCAGTGTGGCGTTCGTTGAGTTAGGCCAGTATACATTAGAGAAGGCTGCGATGGCTGGAGCCAGAGAGTAAAAGTAAGGAGAGTCACTACAACACTCATGAGTTCAGTGTTGAGACAGGCCGTGGGGGTCAGCTATGTATGAGAACTCTAATATGTATATATGTTTGTTCAGTGTTGAGACAGGCCGTGGGGGTCAGCTATGTATGAGAACTCTAATATATATATACGTTTGTTCAGTGTTGTACAGATACAGGTAACATTGTATGTGGCTAGTTAGTAACCGTGTCCAATTTGTAGACGTCCTCCCTGATAGCTACCCATGAGTAGCCATGTAAAATAGAAGTTAGGCAGCGGCACTGTTCGAAACAGAGGCACATTTGTTGCTTCTGCCAGACGGTGGCCGATGCATTTTTGCTCCATTTGTAGACTGGACAAATTTCGTCACCCAGCTTCTGAGATGAATGCATGGCGTGACCCTGTGAGCTGCGGATTGCATTTGGAATGTTTTTTCGACTGTGACCAACGTGTTGGTGTGAATTGTAGAGTCAGAAAATGGCGCGATGCCTGTCGTGCAGTGTTATAGTGTCCGTAAGTGATTAAAATTGATCGCGTGGGCAGCTGCTGATCTGTTGGCGGCTTCTGCTACCATCAATGATGAACTGCAATTCTAATACTGTGATAAACATTCTGTGTGTTTTTCGTTGGCAAAGGAGAGGAGCAAAAATGGGGTGACCCGTTTGCTATGAAGCTGAAACTAAGACTACTAGACCAGACTATCCATGAGTGGAGACCACCATCACCGGTGTTTCTATGTGCTCCATGATAGTTACCCATGAGTGACGTGACCGATCCGTGCATGCTGTCTCTCTCTCTCTCTCTCTCTCTCTCTCTCTCTCTCTCTCTCTCTCTCTCTCTCTCTCTCTCTCTCTCTTTCTCTCTCTCTTTCTCTCTCTGCTATGGCCACCACAGTGAAAACGGGGAAAGGGGGTGGGACCTTCATTCTTTCTTTACATTTTTGTATAATTGCGTGGAGACGTCCTTTCCTGGTTTAATTGAGCAATATTAATATTAATATTTGTCAGTGGCTAAGGCGTTGCTAGTCTGACTCGTAATCCAACTTACCACGATCAAAACCTGCGTGGGCTGCGTGGATTTTTATCGTGGGACGTCGCAGGTCGACCCAGCCTCAAATGGGTACCAGGATGGGCTGTCCTGGGAAAGTAAAGACGGCTGGCGTAATGCTGACCACATTACCCACCGAGTGCCGATTGGTCTATAAAAATATGGGTGCTCTTCCCATATGCCCGATGCGCCTAAGGGCGTGTAAAGGGATCTTTACTTTACTTTTTTTTAACTTGTTATTAGGCACTTCCAGCAAGATTTCAGACATTTCAGCACTGGAAATTATGTGGGAGAAGGCCCACTCAAGCAGCAGAAGCTACGTTTAAAAGCGCAATAGAAATAATTAGTATTAAAATCATATGCTGTATGTCAAATGTAAAAGACGTGCATTTAAAAAGTATTGCACCAGAGACTTCAATCCGGGAGCTGTTGATTCAAAAAGCATGACATTTATACACACCATACACTAATATGTCATGTAAATATATGTTTTTCAACAAAATCGCTAACAACTTGTATAGATGTATGCCAACACCAAATAGTCCATGTTTTCCTAGCCCCTTACCAGATGTGGCCCTGGTTAGGTAGCCATTTTTTCGTTACGCAAATCAGTCCTTATCATCCTCAATCTAGTCTCACAGAGCACATCTCTAAGTGGCGTCAAACAGAAGAACATTAGAGGCTGCCAAATGGGGAATTATAATGTGGATGAGTTGGTAAAGCCCAACCCAATGTTGATTGATTCCCGTGTTGCCGAACAGGTGAGAGGTTGTTTATTGTCGTGAAGACGAATTATGTCTGCCAGATTATTGTGCCTGAAATTCTACGAAATACTCATAATTTGTTTTCTTCAATGTGTAAATGTATGCTTTCGAATTCATTCTGTCTCCCTAAGCATAAAATCCAAGCAAATTAAACGCTTCATGTGTCAGAAGACAGTGCTCATGATGTTGACGACCAAACTGATTAAAATACTTACCTCTGAAAATTGGCTTTCCAGCGGGGTGTGCCGATTTCCATCGCTATTGTAAAAGTAGACGAGAACTTTCTCCATGGGTGCAACGAATTGTTGAAAGTTATCCCTATTCAAAGTTACGATTTTTGGCGATGAAAGGCCCATGCTGGCATTCTTTCGAGGGCCATCGGGCCTGAACACCGGCGGTAGTTTGGGCACATCCGTTATTTGTTGACCGTGTTGAGGAAAGAAGCGGTTTTGTTCAGGTTGTTTGCGTAAATTACTTACACCTGGACGTGGTGGGGTAGCTGTAGGTGGGAACATGTAGGGTGACAGGTTGGACAGTGAGTCGTCTGAATCAGTACTCCATTGAGGAGACCTGGGATACCCGTCTGCGCTGTTACGCGACATGTTCTGTGGTGGTAGTTTGAGCTAGGAGAAGATACGGAGATAACAGTGTTCACTAGCGAGACAATATCCTACATTATTACATCGTACAGTTAGTATTAGGGCGAAAGAAGCATACATTTTTACGTCATGCAGTAATAAGGCGACTGTAGCTTATATTATTACATCGTGCAGTAGGTAGTAGGGCGACAATGTTTAAAAAAGCATTTTTTTTTAAACCCAGTTCGTGTCGGACCCTCCGCGAATCCCTGGTTTGAACATGATCATAACATAATTATCTTCTTCATCTTCGCGTTCACCAGCTGTACACTCTGGCGGAAAGTTCTGGTTGCTCGTCCACTACTGAACTGCAGTCCTGCTCCAGAACCTGAGTGTTGCGTGTGCATCAGTTTTACAGATCTCATTCTCTTCAATACAGACTGTTGGTTCCTTGCCTCTCCGGCAGATGCACTCCGACTTCAAAGGAAGCTCCCTAATTAGTCGACTTTTACGACATGCTTTTGGGGAGGCAGTGGGTCTATTCTTGTTTTCCCCACAATGGGACCTCGGAACCCACACAGGGGGTCATAATTATGTAATACGTACTGACCAATCAATAATTGAGCACGTGCTTATCGTCCCATGATGAATATGTTCTTTTTTTCTGACCGGTGAAAAATTGGTTTGGCTGATCCACAATCCGTCTGAGAAACAGTGGTCATTCAGTTTTCTTTAACGTGAAGAATATTGACCATGGACACATCGCAGAACGCAAGCTTTGTACTGTAATCAATCTATTTCAAAATGGTGAGGTGGGTGTTTGGACAACTTGCTGAGGTACATAGCGAAGGGCGATACATTTCTCTTCCTCACAGTGGCAGGCCAAGAATCACAGAGTCACCACATTGAGCCGAACAGCAAAGAAAGGGCGTGTATTGGAAGTATGACTGGGTACCAAAAGCCACACACAATTTCAAATACACGTTTTCGTTGGTAAGACTATGGTAAGTGTAAATTCTGACAATAAAGGGCTTTTGACGGCAGACTTGAAAGAAATGGTGTCAACACCAACACTATCCACAACTTGCAAACACTAACAAGCTGCATAAAGTCATTATTATTAAACGTCCTGATATGTTTTCACATACTGTGACTTTTGTTGTTGCAGGTTAATGCTAGTCGGTTGCAAATACTATGCAGGAAGCGTTCGCATGGAAGAACCAGCACTCTTCATTTGTCAGCATTTGATTTTCATTTTTTTTGGACCTCTCAAAAAGGTCCCAAGGGAAAACGATGCAATAAACACAATAAGCACTTGGAGCAATTACAATCCATGTATCCGGATTGCATTCGACCCCTACCCAAGCAAAAAGATGCTTACCAGAATGCCTACGTTTTATGATGAGCACATAGTGTAATAACTATGACTTTTTTTAAGCTTCTGTAAAAAGGCTTTTGAGACTTGTTTCAAATAATCGCCACTTTTACATAATTACAGGGACAATATCATACTTGGACTAAAAGTAACTGCACGTCCATTGCTAGTCGCTGCTGAACCAACTCCTGCATGATTTTGTATGTGATTTAACTAGGCCTTATACCATTGTCGAAACCAACGCAAGTCGGTCTGCTAACCAGTCGCCCGCTGCTGGTATCAAGCCAGCGCCACGGAATCACGAAGGACTTGGCAACGCCTAAGCCAAAAGCACAGACATATAGTGTGCAAATGGCTACAATATCATACTCAAGTACTTACTTCTTACTGGTGATATCTGCACAAGTTGCACAGCTGGAAGGACTGTGAGTCGCCTGATGGTGGTCCGCTGGTCAGTTGCCAAAGATGTGCACAAGAATCGTGCAACAACAATCTGCGCAGCAAATATCTTAATATAAAATGTCAAGGGTTAACAATAACTATCACTTCCTGTCATGGTTGCTGGTCAGTGGGACAACTTAGCCCTCTCACACACGAACAGGTTAGGGATCTGCTCCTATAAACAATCATACTGGTGCTCAGGATGCCTAATAAACCCCATAAACTTAAGGTTGTGAGTCCTGGACTCTCTCTCAGTCAATGAAGAAAACGATTGGGGCTTTTCAATTAAAATGTTACAGAACAATTCTCAGAAAACCATGGATTGAAAGAAGAAAAAATCATCGACATTCTACACGACTTAAACATCAAGGAGAACTGGTTCATGTTCCGAAAGTGAAAATATTGTCACCAGATCACGCGTCATGGTGGTCTGGAAAAGACAATGATGGAGCGTGCGGTTTGTGGAAAGCGAGACAGTTGTCGATCTCCGCAAAGAAGGATACAGGGTACAAAATATTTACGTACACCAAACAAAGGGAATCCTTGGGAATTCCACAGCCGACTGGACAGTCCACAATTTCAAGGGGTGCCAGAGTGCTGTTGCTGTCGTTTCTCTTCAGTGCTTTTTGGTGTGGCATATATCTGTCTGTTGGTGCGCAGTCGGCTGCTTGTTGATGCGCAATTGCCCGGTGTACAGTTCTGGTCATGTTTTAATATAATTTTGTCACGTGAATGTGTAGCTTAGTTGATATTACATCCGCCTTATAAAGAAATTTGCTGCGTTCAATACCTACGTAACTTGAAAAAAAAATTAAATGTAATGTGGGTTTTTTGGCTATTCTCTGAATAACAGTTCTGAATTATCGACGCCGCAAATATACCCTTACAGCGCCTCATTAACATGTAAATTGCGGACCTCTTACAGGTGACTATACCGCCACCGCCGAGAGTATCCCCTACGACGCTAAGCGCGGAGTGGAAAAGGAGGAGGGGGGGGGGGGTGGAGGCGAAACTAGATGGCTGGGACTCACAAGCAAAAAAAAAAAAAAAAAACGGAAGAAGCTGTAGGAGATGCGGTAGCTGCTGCTCGTGAGTCCCAGCCATCTAGTTTAGCCCTTTCCCCCCCCCCACCCCTGCGCCGCACGTAGCGGTGCAGGGGATACTCTCGGCGGTGGCGGTATAGTCACCTGTAAGAGGTCCGCAATTTGCCGTATTTTGAGGGTATTTCCAGACGACAGGTGGACTTTCGATACCGGCAAACGGTCGTGTGTCTTTCCGACAGCGATAATATACCATCTACCTGATGGTTGTTTCTGCAACGTCTCGTTCTGTCCAGAATGTCATGCTGTTGCAGGAAGGCAGTGCTGGTCTCCTTGTCTCGTACAGATGCTACTAAATGTAGAAAATTCATGACTGGAACGAACGACCAACAAATATGACAACTGCTGCAACCAGTTGGCGGCAAAGATAAAGACTGCTGACGCGCGATAAACACACGCCATAAGAGGCGCCAACAAGCGCTGGCTTTTGCGATGCACTCTAGAAGGGCCTGAAAATTATTTGAATGTCTTCCGTGACGTCATCGTGACCTCATGAGGTAAGTAAAAATTATTGTACCGAATACAGGACATTAAAGATGCACTGACATTGCAAACACCTGAGCTGGAGAGCTGGCAAGGGTGAGGGATACTTTAATGCGTGCCGTGAGGAGAGAGACGTTCTGTAAAGAACATTCTGATAGATGATGATGATGACAACGAAAAGTTTTTTTTACCAAATTTCAAAAGCTTAGAGCGGTTACTGAGTTGCAATTTGTTTTTTAGCGTTTTGGCGGAATTTCTGGAATGGGCTATGGAGAGTGAAATACCAAGGTTGAAGACTCTAGTCATTTTCAAAAACCTGTCCCACAATGTGCAGAAACATCTGCGTGCAAAGTAAATGAATAAATAGGGACATAACCATACGTGCTCAGTCTTGTTCTTTGTCAGCGGTAAGTGTTTAATATTAAAGATACCCGGCTAAATTATGTCCCAAAATGGGATGCAATTGTTGTTATTTTAAAGCCGTACGCCGGCTGTCTATGGGTGCCCTGAAATAAAGTAATGATTTTGAACGGAGTTTATAACTTTCCATCCTTTTCCGGATACAATTTTTCGTTGTTTGAAGCCCTACTCTGGTTCTTGCCAAGGGCCGCAATAATGCCTGGCCATAGATACGGCCTAAAGGCTGAACGCGGTTTCTGTGACCTCTCCACGGTGATCCTCACCCACATGGTAGCACAGTGTGTTATCGGGTGTTTATCGCTTGTGTGATGTCCTGGTGGGGTAGAAAGTCAGACAGTCGGTCAATGGGGTTTCTGCGACTTGCTCTCGGGGAATTCTCATCGAAGATGACACATTATGTCACCGGATGCTAATCAGTGGTCGTATGGTCCTGGTGTGGTTAAAGGTCACTCACTGCTCGCTGAATTAATCCTTCAGGGTAAAGATGCTCTGCCAAACTACCTGACTGACCTTTGGAAGTTGAATGTGATAACCTAACGAAAATGAATGCAACAATGATGGCAGCGGGAACTTGATACTGTAACATGGAACCACAGAGAGGCAGAGGCAGCCTTGTAGAATATGGATTGAAGGAGTCACTGACAGTCTGAGACTTGACATCACATCAAATATTGTAGCTCGATATCCTACACCATCACCTCACATCAAAACTCTTAGCTCGACATCCACATTTTTGACCTCTCATCAAAGCTCTTAGCTCGACATCCACATTTTTGACCTCACATCAAAGCTTTTAGCTCGACATCCACATTTTTGACCTCACATCAAAGCTCTTAGCTCGACATCCACATTTTTGACCTCACATCAAAGCTCTTAGCTCGACATCCACATTTTTGACCTCACATCAAAGCTCTTAACTCGACATCCACATTTTTGACCTCACATCAAAGCTCTTAGCTCGACATCCACATTTTTGACCTCACATCAAAGCTCTTAGCTAGACATCCACATTTTTGACCTCACATCAAAGCTCTTAGCTCGACATCCACATTTTTGACCTCACATCAAAGCTCTTAGCTCGACATCCACATTTTTGACCTCACATCAAAGCTCTTAACTCGACATCCACATTTGTGACCTCACATCAAAGCTCTTAGCTCGACATCCACATTTTTGACCTCACATCAAAGCTCTTAACTCGACAT